TTATTTTACTTTCTAAAATTGTGCTGTGGAGCAGTTGAGAGGATTGGGAGAGAAAGGAGCGGGATATATGGTGGGAGGGGGCGGTGGGAGGGGAGCATGGTAAGGCCCATGGCTCATTCCCACAAGGCAGACCAGGGGGCTAGGTTGGATGCAGATGTTGGGGTGTGTGGCTGAGGCCCTCAGCCCCCCCACCCTGGCTTGGGAGACTGGAATGTTTCTGGTGGTGGCTCAATGGTCATCATTGGGCTAGGTGCAGATGTTTGGGGAGCCACCAATTGGGAGCCTGGGGTGCTTCTGGCAGTGGCTTGGGGGTCAACACTGGGCTGGATGTGGATGTCAGGGGGCATGGCTGAGGCCCTCAGACCCCCACTGCCCAATCTCGGGAGCCTGAGGTGTTTCTGATGGTGGCTTGGTAGTCATTGCTGGACTGGGTGTGGATGTCAGGGGGGTATGGCTGAAGCCGTCGGTTCCCCACTGCCCCAGCTCGGGAAACTGGGGCACTGCTGGCAGGAACTCGGTAGTCATCACTGGGCTGTTGCTCAGTGGTTTCCAAACTGGGGCCTTGGGGCCCTTTCTTGATCATACAAATCTTTTCTTTCCTGTTCTCTTTTCTTGCTGGTTTCTCTAAAAGCTATGCAAAGCACCTGCATCCCTTGCCCTCTTCTCTTGAGTTTTTAGCCTTATCAAATTTACCCTTTTGTATTCATTTGTCTCCTGGCTTAGCTGAGGATCTCTTCTTTCCTCAAATTGGCACATCAAACCAGGGAAAATCAGGCAATATTCATGAAATCATAACATATATATGAATGTAAAAGAAGCTTGAATCTTAGTTAAGAAAGGATAGAGGGCCTTTAATTGACCACATTAAAAAATCCACATACATTTTAACATAGAAACTACAGTTCTTGGTCTAAGGGTTTTCCATAATTCACAATTAGTTTTTAATAAGAAAGGTATTTTGTCTCTCATGTGTACTAATCTTTAAACACTTCAAAGCAGGAAACATATTATATTTTGTATTTGAGACTGTTTGTAGCACACTGACTAGCACATAGTTGTCTAAACATTGAATGTTTACAGTCACACTATTGAAAATACAGACATGCATCATATAANATATTATATTTTGTATTTGAGACTGTTTGTAGCACACTGACTAGCACATAGTTGTCTAAACATTGAATGTTTACAGTCACACTATTGAAAATACAGACATGCATCATATAATGATGTTTTGGTCAATGGTGGAGGATATACACAACAGTGGTTCCATATGATTATAATGGCTATATACCATATAGCCTAGGTGTGTAGTAGGCTATTCCATCTAGGTTTGTGGAAGTACATTCTACGATGTTCATGCAATGATAAAATTACCTAATGACACATTCCTCAGAACATATCCCTATCATTAAGTGACATGACTGTACTTGTGTATAAATGTTATCACTATGCACACATTTTAAAAACAGATGTGTAGAACTGTCATTACCTTAAAATTCTTCTGATAGGATTTATATTGAAATGCACGTTTTTGAAGATCATCTACAACATATTGCAGATCATTCAACATGAGCTTTATTTTGTCTTGGTCAGCATTAATATCCAAAATCTGTGGATCCTAGAAAATTAAGATAGTTTTTGAGTAGTCATTCCTACTTTTTGATGCAGAACAATTAGATTATTAATTAATTAATTAATTAATTAATATTTTCTAATTCTTTTTTCTCTCTGATTTTTAGAAACTGTTAAAAATTGTTGCTTATCTTGAATTTTAAAGCAACACACACACACACATACACACACACATATATATATACACATTGTAAAAAGTAGAGAATTGAAGAAAACAGTGCTATGGGGATAACACTGTTTTTAAGTAGTACCTAGTACATTCTCCTTCATCTGCTTTCATTTCCTACACTTCGTCAACCAATATGACTTCAGGTAAGACAGGTGAATGCAACAAGGAAGAGAAGAAAGAGGATAGGATATTAGGAAAAATCCTATTTTAAAGTCTGAGAGGGAGGAAGAGAGAAAATAAAGAATATAAATGGCAAGACATACATTTTTTTTGGTTGACATATTGGGGTTGAAACTGCAGTGAATGAGAATGGAATAGTTCAGAAGCAAAGTAGAAACACTTTCCTAGGCTTGGGAGAATCTGAGAAAATTGGAAGAATCTGAGAACTATTATAACCATAGCTTCAGGGGGCCAGTTCCATCTCTCGTTCAGCATGGCCCTGCATTCAAAATGGCAACATGCTCCAGATTAGAAAAAACTAAGGGAAATGTTTAGGCAGAAGGGGCTTGTGTTGACACTCAGCTGCCTCCTGGACTGGTGTTATATGTAGGGGGATCCTGAAGTTCTCATCTGTCTTAATTCTGGCAGTTGGGAACTGCTGAGAGAACTAGTGAACAAGATGTAGTCTGAGTCCACAATGAGAAAGGCAGAAATTACTCGAGACTGCAGGGCTACAGCAGAAATGACAGATTGCAGCAATAGAGACTAGGGTGGTGCCTAAAGAACCAGGGAGGACTCTTTGCTAACAGTTGCTTGGGACAACCAGGCCTAGCCCAGCCAAACTGCACTGGAAGCTGCTAAGATCCAGAAGGTAGCGTGAGGACCAAATGTCCCTCCCCTCCATCCACCGTGAGGAAATGCAAGCTTCCCTTTATGGGGAAAGAGGAGGGAGGGGATGATGGCAAGGGTGAAAAAATGACTGATAGTTTAGATTTTGAACTGAATTAAAATCTATCCAGAAAAGACCAAGTTAGAATAAGGCAGACATTTCAAATGGAAATAAATTGAGTTATCATCAATTGTCACATTTAGGTTTTCTCTCTAACTTAGTCTCCTCAGTGGCAAGAGTGGGGGTCTTGACAGCAAGATGATATCATTAATGGAAATAATGAAGTTATCATTCTTTGCCCAAGAGTAATAGTGAATTAATTTCAAACTCTCTACAGAAGAAACACTCATTAGAACCTGTCTTATCATTTTCATGTATGTGAATTATGCTATTTAAAATGCTTGATTACACATAAAGCACAGACTGACACTTTCTCTAATGATCTGTCTATACATACCAAGGATGATAATTCATACTTTTTTATAGTCTGTGTATAGGTTACAGTATATGGTAATCTACATTAACCTATGCTGTGTATAGACTGCCGTGTATGGTACAGCAGTTAATATAGACTATTAACCATTGGAAGCAGACTGCCTAAGCTTGAATCCTGGTTCCTCCATTTATTATCTGTGTGACCTGGGGCAAACTACTTAACCTCCCTGTACCTTACTGTCTTTCTTTGTAAAATGTGTTACAAGGTGGTGCTCTAACAAACTGAGCTAACTGGCCAGCCCTTTCTCTGTAAAATGTGAATAATAAAATACTACAGATGTTCTGAGAATTAAATGAGTTGATACATGAAAACATATATAAAAATGCTTCTAGGAGTATCAGTCATCACTGCTAAAAACTGTAAACAATTCCAATGCCCATCAACCATGGAACGGATAACGAAATTGTGAAATACAATAAAATACTATATAGCAACAAGTATGGATAATCTACGTCCACACACAGCAACTTGGACAAATCTCAGGAACATAACAAAATGAAATAAAGGGCATACTGCTTGATTTGAGTTAACTGAAGTTCAAAAACAGGCAAAACTAATTTATGACATTGGCATTCAGGGTAGTAGCTGCCTTTGAGAGGAAGAAAGGATCAATAAGGAGGAGGGGACACTCTGGGTACCAGTAATGCTACAGTCCTTGACATGAGAAGTAGACACATGGATGTGTTCACTTTCTGATAATTCATTGAGTTGTACAGTTATTATGCTAATGTACACTTTTGTCTGTGAGAAAATACAAAAATGTTTTGCTATGGGTCAAATGTGTTTCCCCAAAGTTAAGGTCTTGCAAACTTGACCCCCATTGTAACAGTTAAGAGGGTGGGAAATCCAATTACGGTATTTGAAAGGTGGGCTCTTTAAGATGCAATTAGATTGTGAGGGTTGTGCTCCGGTAAATGGATTGCTCCATTCATGGAGTAATGGGTGTGTCCTCAAGGCTTTATGAAGAGGGCGATTGAGAAGGTTAGTTCTCTCTTACTCTTGCCATTCTTGCCACGTGACACCCTGGTCACCACAAGACCCTACAGACGGTTCCCTCTAGAAGAAGGGCCTCACCAGATATGTTCTCTGGGCCTTGGACTTCCCAGCCTCCAAACTGTGAGAAATAAATTTTATTTCTTTATAAATTACTCAGTTTCATGTATTCTGTTATAAACAACAGGAACAGAATAATGTGTTTAAATATAAAGTAAAAACAATGTCAAGTGCTTAGAACAGTTTTTGACAAATAGTAAGCACACAATGTGAGTTGTTTTTAGGTTTCCATGTCAATATGTGTAAATGTATATTGTAATCTTTAATGTCTCTACTGTATTGTATTTCTTTGAGTGGATGTACCCTGATATATTTTATTCATCAACTGTTGATGGATGTTAAGTTTTTTCCAATTTTTCTTTTTTGATTTTTTTTTTCCTTTTTGTCTTTTTTCGTGTCCGGCAACGGATCGCAACCCTCAGTGTCGCACCCGTACCGCACCG